ACGTTAAGCCCCGAAGAAGTGAACCTTGCCTTGTACTGGAATAACAGGCTTCGCACAGCAATACACTAAACGTATCTGTATGCAGGTTCATTTTCACATCCTGAATAACGGATAATATATGACTGCTTTGTACATAACGGAGTCAACCATTCTACTTTTGTATATGAAAAAGTAACATACGGACATATCGCAGTTTAAGATATCGAGAAAATGGTATTGCTACAAGCGTTGATTGTCAGTTTCGAATCCCGCTTGTTCTTGAATTCTGCTGGGCAGACAGAGTCAATGATGCTGCGTCATCCATTATTCTTCTCAATTTAACGCCTTAGCCCACAAGAGGCAGCGATGGTTTCATATTCTGGCCTGTCTTATTTATCGCCAATTAGTTAGTTACCTGGTGATTTTATTTGGCTGTCTTTCTCTTTCTTCCATGTTCGCCGCCAGTAAACACGGTTTCAATGATCGTGAATTTCTCAATTTTTTCGCTTTTTTTCACTGTTCCTGTTGTCTGTATATTGCGCTCAATACCTGATCGACGATGTTTCGCAGTTATCGTCTGCACTCGCCACCGAGCATTGACTGAGTTATAAACGGATCCTGTCTACAGTCGTACTGTTGTAATTTTGCTTCGATATCGATTGTGGTCACAGACTTCTTAATCTAGAATTGAGTGGTAACAGTTGCAGAAGTAATTCTTATTCGATCTGCATATAATACTGCTATCAGTAACAATGTGAGTGATGAAATTCAAATAACGAGTACGGGTTATTCACTTATTCGAACAGTCATTGCTTGCTTGATTAAGGATTTTTTCAATTTGTCTTCTGTTCTCTCTTTTTTTAACGACTTACTACTCAATTGCATTGCATTATTCATGTGCTACTTTAATATGTCATATACTATCTCGATGATATTTGAGGTTGAGTGGAGGTTTGTTCGAAGTGGAAACTGCTGCAACATGCTGGTTCAATATTTCGATGTAATTCAGGTGACTGCCTGTGATGAAACAGTTTGCAGTGTGTCAAGTATGAACGTGTATATACAAATATAGTT